TGGTTACCAAAGGGGAAAGGGTGGGTGGATAAATTAGAGGAGTATGGGATTAACAGATATAAACTACTGTACATATGATAGATAAGCAACAAGGATTTACTGTATAGCGCAGGGAACTGTATTCAGTATCTTGTAATAACCTATAATGGAAAATATTTTGAAAAAATATGTATAATATATGTGTATAAGTGAATAAACATATTATTTGCTGTATACCTGAAACTAACACAATATTATAAATCAACTATGCTTCAATTTTTAAAAATGTTAATTTTCAAAGAAAGAAAGTTTAGTGGACTCCTTTCCAGATCACTTTTTTGTTTTCTCTGCCTTGAATAAATCATTAAAAGGATGTAGTTACGGTCATAATCTGAACGTGGTGTGGGAGTTTAAGTGAACTTGTCAAATCTATATAGTATATCTGAGAGATAACTATTATACATTTATATATATAAGCTGAGTTTAGAGTAATGACTAGGTATAGTCCCAGTGGGACTGCTCAGGTGAATGGGCTTATCAGGAGTGCCAGCGACGTGTGTTTTCAGGACTCTCAGTCTTTTGAGGCACACTTTGTAGTAAGAAGATTAATCTGTGAGAAAAATCATTAGGAAGACAACAGAGGAAAAAATGTCCGGTACGTATGTTTGCAGGCAGCCCCAGGGACTTCCACACCGGCCATTGTGACTGGGCTTGGTATCATGAGGCCACTTTTCCTAGCTTTTGGAAACATCTCATTTCTGGATACCTCAGGTATCTTTGTCAAGAAATCGTTTTCCCCCTTGGTTGATAATAAAGTAAGCTACCAAGAACTTGGCTTCTGTTGACTTTTCAACAGCAATCCCATTAAAGTTCAAAGGTTTTTACTCAGATTTTTACAAATAACAGTTTAGTTTGGAAAAGCTTTTTTCCCATCTCTTTTAGACTCACAGCTTTATTCAAGACCAATTTTACACCTTTGGATATACCATGAACTCTACCAGTTTACAAAAATAGATAATTTTTTTTTTCTCAAAGAGGTAGATGAGCTTGGAGAGTTCTAGTTTTCCCAGTTACACAAGAACAAGTGAGCAAGTGTTTTCTGTGTCTGGATCAAATGAAGTGGCTCTTTCTGTACCTTTCCTGCACTGTTTTCCAGAGTAGAGGAACGAGAGTGTTGTTTACTTTTTCATGTGGGATATGAGTCTGCTTCCCTTTGTCCTTGGAGGGGACTTTTGGGTTTTTGGGGGGGGAGGGGTCAGTAGTCAGAAGTTTAATGTCAAATGATTCTAAAAGAGAGGAGCAAGAGAGTAAGAACTATGATATAAATATTAGGGCAAAAAGGAATAGTTAACTGAGTGGCTCTTTCTTTAAACTAGGAAAATACTTTTTATTTTTATTGACTGTCATTTGTTGAGAGTACCCATGTGCCAGATATATTATGGTCATTATCTTACTTGATTCACTTTATCCCGAGAGGTAGAAATAATTCCAGACAAGACTGCACAAGATTACACTATTTACTTTTAGCCATATGTCCAGTAAATAGCAAAGTCACAGTTTGAACCCAGGTCCAACTCTAAAGCTCTTTGTAGTTTACAAGCTGTTAACTTTGGCCTAAGACTTAGAAAACTCTTATAATTAATTGTGAATTTCTGGGGAGTTGCATTAACTTTCTTGGCTCTTGCTTTCTGTATCTGTAAAATGAGAGGATTGAGCTAGATTTTCAAAGTTAATTCTGGTTGTAAAATTCTGTGATTTATGGTTTCTTTACTGAATTGAAGCAGAGACTGTAAAGTTTCTACTAGTTCTCTTGTTTGTAGGCCATTCGGTTTGTAATGAATACTATTAGCCTGATAATTTTTTTACATCACCCTATGGAGGTGCAGAAAAGGCATAGTGAGAGGATGGGTTAAAAGAAGGTACATTGTGTCAACTACAGGTTCACAAAAGAAAACTTAAAAGTGCCTCAACATCAAGGAGCATGGCAAGCATGGGCTGGAGGTTGTTTAGGTGGGACCTGGTAATTGTTGTTAGACACCAATGTCTCTAGGCATTGGGGAATGTGTTAAATAGGACAGCGATGACTCAGTTTCAGTCCTTTTAGGGTCTTATAACATTTCCAATTAAATGGTAGAGAGGTAGTTATAGGAGGATTGCAGTGATTATTGACATAGAAGAGCTAGTGAGATGACATGATATAAAAAAAAGAAGCATGACTGTTGCAGTATTTTTATTCCACTTATATATAGTACCTTTTTCTCTGAAGGTGCTGTACAAATAACGTTGAGATAATAAGCCATTTTAAAATGTCAAAACACTGAAGAATAGGAAAGTGGCTAGGAGAAATAAATACAGAGAAGCAGTAGAGGCTTTAGATCAGTGATGGGCACAGCAGGTTAGTGATTCTTTGGTTAAATCTGCTGCATTCACTATTGGTGCTGTAAATGGGTGGGGGCTTTGACACAGAGGCCTACTCTTTGGGCCACTTGGTGCTTACCATTCTGCATCTTGTGATTGAAATTGAAGACCATGGATTTTCATGTCAGATGGACCTTTGTTTAAATACTGATCCTGCTACTTACCAGCTGTTAACTTGGAAAAAATTACCTAAATTTTCTGAGCGTCAGTTTCTTCATCAGTAAAGTGGTGATCATTTTACCTCCCTTGTTAAGGTTGTTCTGAAGATGAAAATAAATGAGCTAAATACATAAAACATTTAGTTCAGTATTTGGCACGTGGTAAACGCAACATAAATGCTAGCTATAGTTATGCTCAGAATATGTCAAAATAGTGATTCTGATGAGGTTACAGAGCATAACATAATAGCAACGGCCTCTCTCTAGTTCAGAAGATAAGGCAGTATGGAGTTGTCAGGATCCTTTTCCCTCTCTGAATTGATACAGTGAAACATCATCTGTACTTCTTAGTCTAGTGTTAAATTTTTTAAATGAAACATACTGAGACTATACATAATAATTTAAACGGTCATATACTGACCAGCTTTAAGAAATAAAAAAAAAGGAGAGGGAGGGTATAGCTCAGTGGTAAAATGCATGTTTAACATGCACAAGGTCCTGGGTTCAATCCCCCAGTACCTACATTAAAATAAAATAACTTAAAAAAAAATTACAGATAGAATGGAAGATCTATGTTCCTCTCTCCGCCCCCAGATAGCTACTGTCTGAGTTTGGTGTATCATTTCCATGCATGTTTTTATATTGTAATTATGTATCTGTAAATAACATATGGTATTTTACATATTTTAAATTGTATATAAATATTGTTAGACTATATATATCCTTCTGTAGCTTGCTTTTCTCAACATTGTTTTTGAGATTTTTCATTATTCTTATAGCTTTATTCATTTATTTTGACTACCATAGAGCATTCCATTACATTGAATACACCATTTTAATCGTTTGTCCATCAACGAACATTACCTATACTTTTGAATGTTTTTACATAGCTCTCACTTCACATTCCCCTGCTTCATTTAGAGATAACCACTATCCTGAATTGTGTTAATTAAAAAAAAAAGATTTAGACATACATATTCCTAAACATACATTGTTTGAGTTTTGTCTGTTTTAAGATTTATGCAGTACAATCTTGCTATGTTATTTAGTAACTTGCTTTTTTTATTCAACATTATGATTTTGAGATTCATTTATAATGATGTGTGTGGCAGTGGTTACTTGTTTTCACTATGTACATTATTCCATCATTTGAATATATTATAATTTATGGACCTTTAGGTTGCTTTAGTCATTAGTAATGAAATGACTTGGAGTATATGTAGTATATGTGGATACTGGATATTGATGAGTAGTAATTATATTATCATTTAATTATACATATTTTGTAATTTTATAATTTTTAATTTGACCCATAAGTTTAAAGTGTATTTTTAAAATTTCCAAAATATAGAATTTTGTCCAATTTTCATCTTAGTTGCTCTATGGTCGGTTAATAATGTCTATATCTTACTAGTTCTTTGAGACTTGCTTTATAGTCTGATGTGTGGTTAAAGTTTATCCAGGTTTTAGTCAGTTTTTATAAATATTCCCCATGTGTTTGAAAACAATTCATTGTCTAATTATCAGTTTCCCACAAATATGATAATTTTTGCTTTACATGTTTTGAAGCTTTGTTATTAGATATATACAGATTTGGAATTGTTTTATCTTCCTGGTAACTTTTTTTGTGCTATTATATACTGATCCTTTTTATCTTTATTAATGCTTTTTGCCTCTAAGTCTACATTTTGTGATATTATTATGGCTATTACTGGCTTTTTGAAAAATTAAAAAAAAATTTTTTGGAGGGGAGATAGTTAGGTTTATTTATTTATTTTAATGGTAGTACTGGGGATTGAACCCAGGACCTCATGCACACTAAGCATGCACTCTGCCCCTGAGCTATACCCACTGGCTTTTTAACCACGTGTATTTGCTGGTATTTTGTTTATATACTTTAAATTTTCCTTCTCATGTTTATGGTTTTAGTATGTCTCTTGGCAACTATATATAACAGGACTTTGTTTATTCAGTCTGAATTTTCTGTTTTTTAACTGCTAAGTTTAGTCTACATTTATTACCATCACTGATGTATCTGTACAATTCTACCATCTTATGTGTTTTCTATTTACCTTGCTTTTTTCTCTGTTGTTTTTTCCCTTCTTATCAGTCCTCTATTGGTTTAAACAACTTTCTTTATTCCTTTTATCACTCTGCTGATGACCTATAATATTTTAACATGCATTTGGCTTTGCAAAGTCTTACATTAAATCGGTATGTCTACCATTCACCTGAATGATACAGGGACCTTGGAAATATTTAACTCGGTTACCCTCCACCAATTTTATATGGTTTCCACCAGTATTTTACTTACATTTTTTAATCACCAAAATTAATTTTAATTATTGCTGCTGTTACATTTAATTTTTATACTTTCATTTTTCAAATACCCAAAGTAATTGTGAATTCCTTGATTAAACTGGTTTTCTCACTCTTTCTCTTCAGATTTTCAAAAGAAACAACCAGACGATGATTCCGCTCCAAGTACGAGTAACAGCCAATCAGATTTGTTTTCTGAAGAGACCACCAGTGACAACAACAATACCTCGATAACCACGCCAACTCTTAGTCCCAGCCAGCAGCCGCTTCCGACAGAACTGAATGTAACTTCACCAAGTAAAGAGGAGTGTAAGTGCCCAGATTCTGTTCAGTGGTGGAGAAAGCAGCCTAAGAATCATATCATGAGTTTCTTGGTAATGCCTCATCCGAGAAAAAAAGATAGCAGGTCTTTTAATTCAAGATTGTGTTGACACATAGTCCCAAGTCAGCAAGGCAGAGAATAAGCTTCAGCCATTGCATAGTGCTTGAGGTTTTCTTAAAAGATAGCCTTTATGTTAACTGTTAAGGTACAAGAGATTTTAAACCAGTCTGGGGCAGTGATTCTTAGCCCTGGCTGTAAATTAGAATCCACTGGGGATTTTTAAAACAATTTCAATCTCCAGCACTATTCCCTGAGTCGGATTTAATTGGTCTGGAGGGAAGCTCAGTGATCTGTTCTTTTTAACTCTTCAGAGTATTCTAATGTGCAGCAAGAATTGAGAACCACTGGTGTAGGGAACTTAACCTGATTTAGTAACCTTGGATTAAAGACTTACCTGTGTCATTAACTGGGCCTTGAATGTTTCTAAGGCAGTTAATTGAGATAACACTGTGTATTTCATAGAACAGAGGATATTTTGAAGGGAGGAGGCAATTGTTTCTGATACTCTTCTGTAAGTGCTCAGTGGTAGATTACTATTACCGTATATGTGATACAGAAGTCCATTGTCCACGTAGTCTTTATAATGCTTAGAACCATTTCCTTAGAACCATTTCCTCTAGGGCACAACTATAACTGAGAGTTTGTTGAAAATTATAGGGGTGTTATGACAGAGCAATTTTTAGCTTTTAAAAGCTTTACTTAACAGGTTGAAATTTGGTGTTTCAAATTTAATGAATATCTAGAAATCCTTGGAATGTGGTAGGTTAGAATGTTTTATCTACTAATTTTGGAAAGATTAGCAGAGAACAAATATTTATCTACCATAAACCACTGTACTAGGTAAAACTGAGAGTATACAAGTGAAAAAGGTCATAGTCCTTGCCCTCAAAGAATTTACTGTTTATCAGGGGGAATTAAATATATTTGTTATATCAGTGGTTCTCAAACAGCAGTGATTTTTGCCCCTCCTTCTCTTCCCCAGTGCTGTAAACATCTTACACTGTATTGGACAGCCCTCCAGAACAAGGAATTATCCAGTCTGACATGTCAGTAATGCCAAGGTTGAGAAACCTTGAAGTGTGATTGTATGCATCCATTTTAATCGTCCTTCTTATGTATTAAAGGCATTGTTGAAGAAGGGTATTGGTTTATTGGAGGAAAAAGTGGTGTTGAAGACAAAACAATATAGAGGAAAGCTGCGTGAAGTTCTGCAGTAGCATTTAGGAGGGTCAGTTATGGAGGACAAGGCTGGAGAGGTAGATCATGGCCATGCCATAGAGGCTTGACTGCTCAGCTAAGATATTTGACTGCCAGACAACATTCATGTTTTTGCACAAAGGAAGTAATATTACTACAGTTCTTTTGGAGAGGTAATCTGGCAGTATTGAAAATGAGAAGGCTTATGCTAGAATAGCATTGCAGAGACAGAATTTTTAAAATACTGTAACTTATTGAATACAGACCCAGGGGAAAGTATAGAAATTACTTAAGAGGAGGAAAAAAAGATGAAAATGGTAGTGATAGTGTTAAGGCATAGGTTTTGTTTTGTTTTAAAACATCCATGTGGGGTTATGTTCTTATTGAGGAGCTGATGAAAGCTATTGGCCCCTTGTCTCAGAAAAATATACACCATCCATTTATGCCCAATTTTGATTAAAATGTTTCTAAAGCTTACTGTGGCCTTTAGGCTAAGAACTCCTTGTCTAAGGGAAAGGTTGGAGCTGGTCAGGATCTTACCTTATGGAACTACGTCTGATGGGACCCGCATGTACTAGGATCAGGCCGACAGATCAACTTTGAGCAGCCCAAGTGCATGTGAGACTGAGATAACAACAGCTCCCATTTACTGAGTGCTTTATGTGCAAGGCATTGTTCTGTATTTTGCATATTTTCTCATTTATTCCTCCTGAAAACTCAGTGAGGTAGATACTAACATTATCCCCATTCTGTAGATAAGGAAACGGGCACAGACAGATCAAGTAATTTGCCTGTGGTAACAAACTAGTAGATACCAGAACCAGGATTCAAATTCAGACATTTGGCTTCAGAATTCATGCTTTTAATCAGTTAATCCACAATGTGAAATATAACTGCCACAGAAAGTAGAAATATCCATGTTGTCAAGACCAGCACATTCTTTCTTTGTAATTAAGGTATGTGGAAACTCAAACTATAACCAAAAGTTACTTGATTAATTCATCAGAAAATCCTTGTAACAGGGATTGGAGATAAAAGCATAATACCCATGTGACTAAAACATTTTCTCTGGTGGCAGATCTTTATAGGAAGCACACCCATAACAAAGATTTATATAGTGAATGACAAAATGTGAACACAGAACAAGTGGAGTTAGATGAAGTGAATTTTTGATTGAGTCAGGATGATTGTCAGGTACACTCTAAGGACATATAGGGAAGGTCTTTTGCATTCAGTACAAGATTCCATCTTCATACCTTTTCTCCCTTCTCTGCGTGGGCTTAGATCTGCCCTGAGCTTTGGAACCCCTAGGACACAACACTTCCTTGTTTCCATAACTTGCTGGTCTAGGCTACTGTGGACTGCCATGTTTTTTCTTTTGATATACATATAAATGCCTTCACTCTGATTAAAGATGTGTAGTTCTACTAGTTTCAGATCCATTCTCTTTCTGATGACATCACTACTTTAAACCATTGTGTGTTTAACTCTTCAAGTTAAACTCTCAGAAGCTAATCTAATTTCCTAATTCTTGTAGTGCTCATTATTGTAATCCTTGGATTTTCACATATCTGGAGGAAGGAGGAGATTTGCTATTCTGAATAATGATGACTTAAGTGTTCAACTGGGCAATTTTTAGGAGAGATAAGTCAAAGATGGCTTCATCCACATGCAGATGATAGGTGAAGCTTTAGGGGTTAAATGAGATTACCAAGGATGAGAACAGAAAAAAAAGCAGTGAGAACAGAACCTTGAGTGAAACCAAAACAAAGGAGGGAACTGAAGAAGTCAGAGAGGAGGCAAATGATAGTGGGACAGGGTCAGGAAAGTCAAGGAACAAATTTCAGCTTATGGTGTGGATTTTATTAATAACAGTGAAAATGTTCACTCATATTTATGAAGTGTTTGGCTATGTTCTAAGCACTCTTCTAAGCTCTTTATATGTACCAACATGTAATTCTCACAATACTGTATGAGATAGGTGTTTTTATTATACCATTTTTGCAGACGAAGAAGTTGAAGTGTAAGGAGGTTCAGTAACTTCTGCCCAAAGTTCAGAGCTCCTGCTTCACAGTGTAGCTCATGTTCCAACCCACTGATTTGGCTCCAGAGCCTATGCTTTCAACCACTATAGCATTTGCCTCAACATTATGAAAATACTGTGGAAAACTGGAAACTGACAGGAGACGTTGAATTTGGTGATCATGAGATTGATTACCTAAATAAACTGTGTAATAAACTATTTCAGTGGTTTGTATATTCATGTAACAGTCTTTGCTGAGTGGCACTAGGTTAAATACTGGGTACAGAAATGAATAAGATTAGGTCTCTACCCACAAGGAGCGTATTTTCAAATACATATGCCTTTCCTTGAGGTTGTTCTCCAAACAGGTGCGTAAGAATTTTAGGGTAAAAGGGAGGCAGTAGCAGGAACAATGGCTATAAGCATGCCATTTGCAAAAGCTTTTTCAGGTGGGTTTTGCTGCCTCATCTCGGTTTGAAAGTATGCTAGAGTGAGGAGATGTGTGCCCGGTTTGTGGATGGGAGATGTTTGTTGAAGCTGTCAGGGTGACTGTGTTGCAAGTCAACAGGAGATGACTGAAGTGATCGCCAAGTAGCAGTGCAGACCAAGATGAAATTAGGCAGCCTGATCCATTGACTCCTTGCAGATTTTAATTGTGACCTACCTAGGAGAAGAAAGGTAGAGGGGATCACTTAATCTTAGAGGGGATCACTTAATCTTTTAGTGTCCTCGAGAGACTGGAAGTTCATCTTTTGGTCCTTCTTAGCTTCCCCTGGAGAGTTATGGAGAAGTAGGGTGTGGGAGTTGCTGGGAATTGGATTTGGGGTACCAAATCCAAGTTCTACATAATATGTAAACTCTACACTAGTTGCGGATCTACTGTTATTGTGTAGAATTGGAAATGCTGTTTCTTCTTCAGGGCTTGTGAAAGGTTTCATATTTTTTCCTAATAATCAAGGGAATGAGTATTGCTTAAATTTGCTTTCCACTTCTCATTGTTAAATGAATATAAGAACAGAAGGATGGTGAGAGTCTGGGTACATTAGTGCTGTTTTGAAAAGACAACAGATAGAGTAAGAGCTATTGACAAGAATGTGTAAAGCAGAACCAGGACAGTTTTTTATCCAAAAGAATTTCTTAAGGCACCTTGACTGAAGGTCAGATAAAACATGTACCTATTTTTTCCAAGTGATATTTCTTTGTCTGAACACACACGCATCTCTTCCTATCCCATCTTGTGTGTCTGCAGAAGAGTGAATAGAACTTTTGCCATTAGAAACATTTTCAAAAAGCAGTGTAAACAACATTCTAATAGTGACCAAAGGACTTTGTCACAGCATTTAAGTGATATACAAATGGTAACAGCTATCACCAGAGTACTCATTAAGCATCAGACACTGTTCCAAATACTTGCCTGTATTAGCATACTTCAGCTTCATAATACCTTGTAAGGTAGGTACTGTTACCGTATCTGTTCCTCAGATGTGGAAATGGAGGCATAGGTTGAGTCAGTATCTTACTCAAGATCTCGGAGCAGCCTGGCTTTCTGGCACCGGATCATAGCTGCCCATCTCTATAGTGATTGATAGTGTAAAGGACGTTGTGTGCAGATGTAAACTATAGAAGAGAGAGTGTTGCACAAACACTTCAAAAGAACAGAATAACATACATTTTTTTTTAGTGCTTTTGCTCCTTTTTACTTACTGT